AGGAGAGGGAGAGGAAAAGGAGAGAGATGGAAAGAGAAAGAGAGGAGGAGAGGAAAGGGAAGGGAGAAGATCCTTGTGGTCCCTTCCAACCCTGACAGATGATCTGTTTTAGCAGAGGACTTAATGGTTGGACTTGATGATCTTAAAGGTCTTTTCCAACCTAAAGGATTCTATGAGTCTAAGAAGGAAAAGGTGCCTCACACAGGCACTAGCCCTTTTTTTTTTTTTTTTTTTTTTCTCATTTTTTTTCCTAAAGCTATTTGCATGATGAGAACAGTAAAGTAGGTAGGTGGAGAGTTGGTGTCTGAACACCTTAATGTGTGACTGGCCCACAGGTATGTGGGCAGGTTAATCGCAGATCTGTGGCTGCTCAGGCTTGATGAAGGTTTCAGTGTCTGGGGCTTTGCTGGTATGAGGAGTTTCCTGTGAGCTGCAAATGGGAGAGAAAGGCTGGATGCAGTCCTGATGGCTGTTACTAGTGTATTTTCAATTATTTCATTGTTAATGGCTGGATATGAATGAAAATTCTGGTGGGTGGACACTGCTGTTCATATCCTGTCAATCTCATACTCTGAATTGTCTGACATCTCAACAGGGTTTGAATGACAGATGAAATTCAATTGCTGACACAGGAGGTGCATGTCAACTGCATCTGCTGCTCTTCCAGGAGAATGTGCTCAGTGGTCTGTGTTCAGACCTCTACTCTGCATTTAATATTTGCAGCTACCATTACTCTATACTAAGTATGCTAAAAACAGGTTGAGTTTGTTACCTTGTGCAGTATATACATAGATCTGCTTGCACAAGTCATCAAACAAAAACCAAGCCAAGAAAGCACTTTAGAGTCTGAAGTTGTGGTGGGAGTGTGTGACACAAAGCAGGAAAATTCCTTTCTGTAGGCATTGTGAAAAACAATGGAATCACTAAGAAATGGAGTTTGGTGATGGATAAAATACTTTGTGCCAGGATTGTCTGTTTAGAGTGGTTTGAATTGAAAAATAAATAGTTTTGAACAAGAGCCAGATAAGACTATAAATGATGTCATGAAGTCCTTTGCAAGAAAAATCAACTTGGTTTTGTGGAAGGGTGGATCCAGTACTGTCCAAGCCTTTGGATTACTTTGGGCAGTGAGGCCTGGTTCACAATCTGATCAAAATCCTTCACCTTTTAACTGCTTCCTCTTAGGAACTGCACTGAATATTTCACCTGAGTCTGAGGTAGTGGAGGAATGTTGCCATTGGATTGAAGAGATTGGTGCAGTTGTTGGAAATACTCACTGCAATTGTCAACTAAATAAGGTGAAGTATTCTGTTAAGAACTTTTAGTGCTTTCAAGTTAAAATAGTTCAGCATTGATTTAAGTTCTGTGTAGGACTAGTGTGATTTTAGTGGGTAGTATCTACAATGAACTGCCTCTGTATAGCAGCTGTCACATGTTGAGGTTGGACTCTGGTGTGTTGAATACAGAAGAAGTGAATTTGCAAGGCTCATGTCAAGGGAGCAGGGAAATACTCGAGGAGTCATTGAACCAAAATAAGACCTTAATGTTTCTTTTAAAACCAAATGCACACTCACTTTGCTTTAACATCATTCCCATTTTGTATCATAACGTATCAAAGTGAATAATGGCTTTGTAACAGGCTTTAAAAGTGTAGTGTTCAGAGTTATTAATTATGGGAATTCAGGAATAAAATTTGAGAAGTATCTCCTGTTTTGCATCCTACAACTTACTGTTTACTTCAGTGACCAACAGGACTTGGTCTTTGAAGACTAACTGTGAATTTACTGCTGGAAAACCACTCTGTTGTGTAGTGTTCCATGGTGTAGTTAGCAGCAGTTACCCAGCAACTCCCAAACAAAAGTGTTTCAAGCTCTTATATGGCTTTTTGTGGTACAGATGCCTTAAAGCAGCTTCTCCCTGAGCTTCACCAGTGCCTTGATTTCTGGTCTGTTGATCTTATTTATGTCTCACTCACATGGAATTTAATTTAGGCTACAAAATGTACTTAGAACTGCCTGGGCAGCAAAATGTGCACAATGATACGTGCGTGGTTGCACCAGGACTCCCCATGAGGCCAGCCCTGCCTCGGGGTGAGAACACACTGCCCAGATTGCTCCTGTCCTGCTGCAGGCTCTCACAGGCAGCCTCTCCCATCACACACTGCTCCCCTCCGGGCACAGGGAGGTGGAGGCTCAGCACTCTTCATTGGAATCCAGCGTCCCCATCAGGATTTTAAACGGCATCATCAGTGCAGCAACATTTTCTGTGGAGGTTTTACACCCGAGAACAATGCTAACAGATCTGCAGGGACTTAAGTATGAGCTAGGCCTGCTGATAGAGCAGAAGGCTCTAATTGGCAGAGGACAGAGAAATGGTTACAGCCATGGTCCCTGTGTGTTTTGTTCTTCAGCAGAGGGACATAATCTGAACATAAATGGTTTATTTTATTGAAGCTTCACAAATCTGTGACAAGCAGATACCAGGAGTACATTGCACATTGGAAGTGTTCAATTCCCTTTGTTCTGGGAGTGCCTCATTCTTGTTTAATTGTACTCTTGTGTACTTCAGTTTAAGAGCAGTCATTCCTATTACTCGTAATTGTTTATGACTATTAAATACTTAATAGCTTTGAAAATATTACTCTTTCTGTTCCTGCTAAAGACACGTGGTGCAGATCAGCTAAACAAATGTCTAATTGTTCTTGGCTAGATTATAGAGAAAAAGGGATTTAGTAGAAGACCAAACTTTATTAACAGGCAAAGAAACCAAAGCTGAATACGTTCAGTGAGTATGTAACAGAACAAGAATCTCTTATATCAGGTTTTGTCCACTTCTGAGGATTATTATGAGAGTTCATAATTTTCCAGGTAACGTCCAGGTTTGGTTGTCTGGGAGGCACTTCTGTGGCTTTGAGTGCTGGAGAGGTCTGGAAATGTCCTTGGGGAAAACAGTCTTCTAATAATGGGGAGTGATGTGTATGTGAGAGTAGAAATCATAATTCTTTCTGTACTGTTTTTTCAGATGACAAAGATGATGCCTTGTGGAAGCTGCACTTTGTTTCAGGTATGTAAAGATGTCCCAAAGCAGGTGATCTGCCTTTAAACTCTCTTGCTTTTCCTGACAAGTGTTACTCCACCAACAGTTATAGTCTGTAGAAGAGATACATGCATAACTTGTCTTTCATTTAAACTTTAGGAGATCTGTTTATAGCTAAGTAGCCAAAAGTTTTGTGATTCATGTAAAAATCCATCTTATTCCACAAGCAAATACGTTTCCAGTATCTGACTGTAAATATGTGTATAAGATGCATACCAAGGAAAAATTTTACAGCACCTGTTCTGAAGATAGAAAATCTAAATATAAACCCCATCATCGACCACATTTTATCTCTGTTTTAACATGTATGCTAGATGCTGCCAGAAAGATCTGCTTCCTGTTAGAGAAACCTACTATCCCAGATAGTGATGGGTTCTTTTGCCTCCTGTATTGTTTATTTAATGTCAGAAAAGTGTTAGAAATACTCAGAATGATCTTAGGACATTGTAATGTGCAAAACGTATCCCTTCAGTGTAATTAGCTGTCATCCTTGTAGTAGTGTTCATGCAAGTAGATGCTTCTGAGAAGCCTAAAGAGTTTAACTCCACAGAGAAAAGCTCTTTGTTAGTAATGGACAATTTAGAACTAACTAAAGAACTCTGAAGAATTGTAGGTGGAATGAGTGTGTTGTAAATTTTCAGGTTTGAGTCAGCCTTTCAGTCCTTTTCAGAGGTAATGCTGTGGGTAATGCTAAGGGTGGAAGAGCTGCTAGAGTGATCTGGAGGAATTCATGAGGAGTCTTTCTAAACATGCTGGGCACCTACAGCCCTTCACACTTCAGTGCCTAGAACTGGCCCCAGGATAGTGATTAATAAAAAGATTCATTGAGCAGGCTGCATTAAATATTTCAGCAATGTTTAAAGGAGAGTCTTCTAAGGCAGTTGGTTTTAGTAAGGAACAGGAATAATAAAGGATACTGGTGGTATTTTCTACTAACTGTGGTCAGTTTGAAACACTAAAATTCAGTATCTGCAGATTTAAGCACCTGCAAGGAATTCTGCAAGTAATGTACTTTGGGGGCCAGGATTTGTTTAAGGTATGAGCTTACAGTAAGAGCTAATCAAAGGAGAACAGTTTTTCCTTTGCCTTTTTTAAACTGTGCTATTATTTTCTAACACTTACCTCCACCAATTCATTTCCTTTAATTTCTTGCTCATGGGAGAATTTTTCTGATTTGCACACAAGCTTCCCATTTGCCATGGTCACAGTACACTGTTGAGGCAGATTTAAAAATGATAAATAACTTTAGACTTTTGAATTCAGTTAAAGTAGAGGACTACAGAGTTAGGAAATAAATGATATGAGTGTCTCATTATCACATCTACTAATTTAAACTGGGGACCACAGCATTTAATAGGAGCTTTAGAAGAAATGCTTCTGTTTGTTGATGGAAATGGTGCAGTTCAGCTTCACTCTTGCACAGAAACTGAAGTGGAGGGGTGACTGAAGGGGTGCCCCCACTCCTGCAGCCCCTTACCTTTAGCTTTCTGCCATCCATGGTGGTGATTTCAGCCTCTTTGCCGAGCGTGAACGAGTTAGTTACAGATTGCTTGGGGGTTTTTGATGTCACAACAAAGTCATCTCCTTTTTGTTTTATTTCAACAATAGGCTTAATGTCTTTGGCCATTTTGATAAGGTCATCTGGCAATGCTGTGAGAAAGGCAAAGAAGGACTTTTTCTGTTAAGAAGTAGTGTGTTGATAGGAAATAGTAAGTTCTTTTCTCTGATAAAGGTGCAAAAGATGCAGACCAATAATAGAGAGAGATGTCCAAGCTAAAAAGCAAATCCTGTTTGGGATTTCTCACTTCTCTATGAGCATATTGTTTTGTTCCACCTAGTCAGTATAGATTTTGATACTATATTGGTTAATCTTGTGTCAGAATATGTATTTTTTCCTTCAGTACCAGCTTGCACATTTCTTCACAAGGAAAACCATGGCTGTATGAGTGTTTCCCTCTCCTCTCCTCAGGGAGGTTGGACATAGGGGTTGTCTGGTTAGTCAGAGCTGCAGCAGCACAAGTAGCCTCAAACTGCCTTCTTGGGGTGTCTCCAGCAGGATTTGGGAGTTAGCAGGAGAGGGGTTGCTTCAGGCACCATATTGTTGGACTAGACTGTTCAACTGTAACTGGGTTTTATTCTGCTGAACATCTCTTATTTACACATTTAACAGCTCCAATGTGAATGTTTTGTCAAGCTTGTAAGTGCATTTTTATACTGTAGACACCAACTAAGCTAATTCCTTACTGACTGCTAAACATGTATCACAGGTATCAATCACTAGTGCTGTAGGAGGTGCCTGTACTACTAGTAGAAAACTGTAAATCCACATACACCATTGACAATTCTAGTACAATTTACTTACAAAGTTATGTGTTAATCAAAACAAGTGATTTTTAATGTACCTCTTCTTTCATGAGGGACTCATCTAATGTTGAGGTAGGGATTTGGGGGTTATCTGCAACCTCTCTACAGCAATTTGTACAATTTTCAGCATCTTTGCATTTCCAGATTAGACATGACAGACTTACCTGGGAGGGGGTGGAAATACAGCAGTAAAAGATGCCATGCAAAGTGTGTGTTGGAATCTGAGCAAATCATTCCCAAAGTGAGAGGTGCTTACCCAGAGCTTTCAGAAATGCCTCGTAGTTCTCCTGAGCATAGACCTGCCAGGTGCCATCAAAAGCCATTCTGGGTGCCAGGGTGCTCCTTAGGGCAGTGATGCCAGCAGGAAAGTCAGGGCTCCCCCTGGGCATTCCAAAGCTATATATGGAAAGGGGAAGACCAGCCCAAATTGTGAGAGGACTGACTAATTATTAACCATGACATAACAATTATTAATCATTTATTTGTTCTTAATGATCATAACCTCTAGTTCATTCTGCTTTGTAGGAAGTCTCACCTTGACCAGCTGGTTTGGGCTGTAGTGTTACTGGGAGTTACTAAACTCAAGTAATTCTTCAGAATTGTTGTCTTGTGTTGCAGTTTGTTTTCTTTTTGTTCACAGCTTCTATGTTTAATCCATTTGCTGTGTTTTGGATAGAATTCTTCCATTAAAATGGCATAAATTACAATCAGTGTGAGGTAATTACTGCCTTACAGCAGGAACTTCCTAATTAACACAATGTTCCTTACTATGGACACTTGAATCTTAAATGGTGGGAATAAAATCCACATCTATTTCTTCCAAAATTATGGGCCTCCAATTGCTTGAGGACAGGGAAAATCGTGTTGGGGTGGGACAGTCACTTAGGACTTTATCCAGTAGATGTCAGTAATGTGCATCTAAAGCTGTATTAAATTCAGTTTATGATTATTATTTTTAATAATCCCTGCATATATAGGAGATTAAAGGTAAAATAAACCATGGAACATTGCTTGGAGCCTGAAATGCAAGAAGTAAGTAGGATGTATTCTTTTTCTTTTCGCCCACTGCACCAAGAATTCCTCACTCATAACTCTGGAGTGATATTCCTTGCTGCCTGTGCAAGCACGACTGTTGGTTTTGGAAGACATTCCTTGGATTATGTGTCTTGCAGTTCTATTGCTTAATTCAAACAGAGCCCATACCCCAGGGGTAGGTGACCTTTCCAAGGTAACTTCTATTACTCCGTAGCTGTCAGTAGTTCTTCTGTTTAAATAGAAATCTGGTGCTGAACTTTTTCTGACAGATTCACACCACTTTGGTTTAGTATGTAATCTTAAAGAAAAATTCACACAGGAAGAGCCAATTTTAGTTACATTTTCATATGATGATATCTGAGGATGAGGTTCTGCTGAAGTGTAGGGGCTGTGGTTGTGTGTGGGGTGTTAGAAACATGGCTCTAACAGGAGTTAATCTAGCCATGATTCATCTCTTTTACCATAGAGGAATGTCAGTGATGCCAGCAGCAGGGCCTGCTTTTCTTCATCCACTCAGTGAGGAATCTAGCCAATTAGTTAAGCTCTCACATTTTAATAATATTAAATTTAACAATACAGATGATATATAGTTAAAAACTTAATGTTTGAAATGTAGCTGCCTTTGGTCAAGTGACTGGCAGTCCTGGAGAGGATTGCTGTGCTCATTGACACTGACACTGGAGCAGCCATGTCTCAAACAAAAGTGCTGCTCTTGTGAGGACAGCTGATGTTTGTGGAGCAAGGTGAGATGCTGTTTCACTGGGCACTGCATTTACCTGGATGGCTGTATTGGGAATACAATCACTTTATCTCCCCCAGTTTTACTGGGAGAAGCTGAGTGTGGAGCTGTGGCTTCAGAGCAGTTGAGAGGCCACACTTTTTTCTGCTAATAATAAACCTAAACACAACACATCAGTGCTGAGGTGTCACCAAGGGTACACTTTTAATCATACACTCACACAAGCATTTGTCAGCTACAGGTTGATCAGTAACAGGTAATGATTTAATACAAAAAAACCCCTCCACTGAAGCCTGTTCTCCTGTGTGAATCCTCTGGTGTTTCCCACTCTGTTTCCCACTTCTCCCAGGGAAGAGTTTCTCTGTGAGGGTAACGTGCCTGTGTCCGTGGGCACACACAGAGAACTGTTTCCTAACAACTACCAAAATCAAAATGCTAAAATATGACTGAAACAAAAATAGAGCCACAAGCCTGAATTTTAGGATGGAGACACTGAAAGGAATCCAAAGGAGTTAAATTCCTTTCAAACTCAGCGAGACATAATGAACTACTTCATTTAGGCTTCTTCGTTAAGGTCCTGCGTGGGACTTCCTCTTCTGCTGGTATCTCCCCATGCTTATAGACACTGATGGTAACCTGCCCTGTTTCAGAACCATACTTATTCTTGACATAGATGCTGTATTTCCCTGTGTCTTCATTGCAGACTTTCTCTATGGTAATCGTGACCACTGTCCCCTTCACATCCATTTTGTAACGATCTTTAAAGACAATGATCTTCTCATTTTTGAACCAAGTGATTTCTGGGTAAGGATCTCCAGATACACAGCAAGTTAAACACAGGGTCTGTTGCAAAACAGAGAGCAGAAATAGATTATGACAATAGCAAGGGAATGCAGTTGATGAGGAATTAAGAAAAATAAAACCAATTTCTCTTGGATTTCACTAGGTGAGATTCCAGGACTATCCACTCCTTTTCCTGATATCCTCCAGTATAATCAGGATTAACCTGTCTCAATTCCCTCAGTATGACTCATTTTGTGCCACTGTATTTTTATAGCTTTCTTACATTGTAAAGTGACACTTAAATAGGCACATGGTGAATGAGCAATGACTTGAGAGGATTTTTATTCTGCCTGTGTACCAGGGAAGGAGCACGTGACTCAGAAATGTAAGCAGCATGTTGGTATGATGGGAAAATCAGCTCCAGCACTTAAAGGCCTCAGTCTAATCCTATGAAATGGGAAGGCAACGAAAGGATCTGGCTGTGGAAATATTAACATCTGAAACCTGCAAGAAAAAGGTTCTGTGCCACAAAGAGCACCTCTGTGCAGAAGCACAGGCCTGTTTGGAGGCACCATCAGCAGTGCAAGGGCTGTTGTGAAGGGAACCACTTCACACCTGGCTATTGCAATAGCTCAGAAAAGCTCCTGGGAGCATACAGGAGGTGAGACCAAGTAGTTTTCTCCCCATCAGTTACTCTGTGTCTGTGCAAGGGACAATTGTAGGGACAGTTATTCAATACTACCTTGCCCTCCATGATGGTGGCAACATCTGGCAGACCTTGAACAACTCTGGCACGATCTGGGAATGAACAAATATAACCTTTTTAGTTTTACTTGTCAGCATACCCCTCAGCTTTGCTTTGCAGAAGGAAGGAAATGAATTTACTTACACTTTTCTGCTATTGCTGCTTCCCTGAAAGTGAGAGAGAAGATTAGAGTGGTTTAATTTATTAAGCATTGCATTCTCAACACAGAATATGATACTCAGATATAAACATAGTTGTGAAAATATTTAGGCAGGAACTTACTTCAGCCTTCTGTGCTCAGCCAGGGCGTCTTCAAAGGCTGCAAGGAGTGAAAAGGTTTTAGGAAGAGTTGCCCTTTGTTTCCTCTGACTTAGTAGATTTAACATAATGCTTCAGTGTTGGAACTAGAGGTATTTGTACACGTAGATAAGTGTAATTATCATCTTGACAGTATTTATATTTCCCTTAAGGAAATATAAACCTATTTATATACTTCTGAAATAAGGGGGATCTAGTACTCCCTTTCCAAAGAGAATCATAGAATGTAGAGTTGTTTCAGTTGGGAAAGACCTTTAAGAAGTCCAACCATTAACTTAACATGACAAAATCTGGCACTAACCCATGTCCCTCAGCACCTCATCAACATGTCTTTTAAACCCCTCCAGGGGTGGGGACTCCACCACTGCCCTGGGCAGCCTGGCACAGCCCTGGGCAACCCTCAAGGGAAGAAGTTTTTCTTAATGTCCAACTTAAACCTCCCCTGGTTTGAACTCCATTCCATAGTGTGCTTTCATGGAACAGCAGCTCCAGCTCAAATAAAGGAGAGAGGAATCACTGCCCATGAGCTGAAGGAATCTTGGAAAGCAGCTTGGGTGTATCTCACTCCTATGACAGTGTTTGACTCAGCTTACCTTGTCCAGACAAGTCAGTTGATAGTTTGTGAGAACTGTTCCCATCAAATAACTCCAGGGTGTATTTTCCCTTATCTGCATCAGTTGGGTTCAGGATGTGAAGCCAGACCTGGTTCATTGTGCTCCCAGCTCTCAGTCTGTCACGGCTCTCCAGCTTTTTATCCCTGAGTCAACAAATGATATCACTTCAACAGGATTTAGTGGAGCTGTATAAATGAGAGCACTAACTTTATTTAGACATGTACTGGTTAGAATAAGAGAGTGGGAGTCAGGACCCCACTGCTCATTTCATGGAGAATTATGGACTTGGTCACTTCTGAAAATCCCCCAGGGCACATGTAGCTGTGCTTTTAGGCAGTGTGCCAAAGCTCTACAAAACTCTGCAGAAGACCTCTTAGTTCTTATATAGGAGATTAAATAGGATTTAGATGTAGAATGTTTGTAAGCATTTAGCCCTTAAATGTTCTTAAACATTGGGCTCCTTATATATGTGTGTAGGAGTTATCTAATAAAACACTATTTCTCTAGTTTATGAAGACATGAGGCTAAATTAACTAGTGTTTGGAAAGAATTTTCTCATGTTTGGGAATATTTGTTACTCAGAGTGAGGGAATAGGGTGGTTTGGGAAAGTACAAAGTAGTAGAAATGAAGAATTTGAAAAAAACAACTTTTTCTGTCTGTAACTGAGGTGGCTGTAGCTGAACAGTGCCTTAAGTGGATCATTATTGTTTTGGTGAAGATGATTGCTTATAAATATCTCTGCAGTGCTAAATAAAAATAACATGACTGCTTAGTTTGGAACTCCCAGACGTGTTTCAGGATACAGAGTGAATTGTGGTTTTCAGCCCTCACTGAGACAAATCTACCATTGCCTTAAAAAGCTGCAGGCTCAGGCCCAATGTGTTTAATTTCTGTGATAAACAGTTAGAAGCAACAGTGCTCCAGAAGCCTTGCAAGTAACTTCTGGGGACTTACTTGTGATACCAGGTTGTCTTCATGTAGTCTGTGTAGTACTTCACATCTGTGTAGATTTTCATGCCTTCTTCAGTTGGCTGAATTTTCAGAGGTGTAGCAGAAAGAGCTGAGGGTGTAATTGAAAGACTGAAATT